TCAAGTTGATGAGGAGTGCAATGTAACAACAAGTTACAGAAAGCATATTACAGTACTGATAATCAGACTGCAGTGCAAACTGGAAGGCAAAGATCAACACAAATCTTTAATTCTCAGCTAGTTTAAAGTTGCTAACTCAGTAAAACTCTGATGAGAACAAAAGTCACAGAAAATAATTTTAGGAAGAGGAAAATATGATATATATATGATGAGGAGTGCAATGTAACAACAAGTTACAGAAAGCATATTACAGTACTGATAATCAGACTGCAGTGCAAACTGGAAGGCAAAGATCAACACAAATCTTTAATTCTCAGCTAGTTTAAAGTTGCTAACTCAGTAAAACTCTGATGAGAACAAAAGTCACAGAAAATAATTTTAGGAAGAGGAAAATATGATATATATAGAGAATGCATAGGTAAATGAAATCTCTAAGTTCAACATAGAATAATCACAGTTTTTTGCCACTGTGTTCAGGATGCAAGGCCACCTCTGATACACCTTTGCTGAAGTCCAACTAAGGAAGAACCAACATTTGGATGAGAGATTCCTGGCACATTTTTCCTTCCCTCTCTGACCAATTTGCATTCCCACTTCCCCTATACTAAAGCATTCTTCGGGAATTATAATGGACTTTGATTCTAAAACACTGATTTTGAATGAAGCATTTTTTTGTGTTTAGCAAACTTTTATTATAAATAAGGTATCAAAACTAAAGAGATCTTATTCCATACAAAGTAATTGTCCACAAGCTATATCAGAGAATATCCTATTGAACTCACAACAGGAGGATCTGGAAGAAATCCACAAACACACACTATTATGTGTGCCCCTGCTCTCTAGCTTCTTCAGTCAGAAATATGATCATTAGGCACAACTTGACTTGGGATATTATATTAACCCCATACAAAGGAAAGAGAGATCAAAAAACTGAAAAAAGGAAAGATTTTACATATATTCAATATGTCAAGTAATGGGGGTTGTTCATGGGAAAGAACATAAGAATGAACATACTGGCCCCTTTTCCGAAAGGGGCATGTTAATTTCACAGGTCGTAATAGGGAAATCCGCGGGGGATTTAAATATCCCCCGCGGCATTTAAATAAAAATGTCCGCCGCTTTTTTCCGGCTTTTAGAAAAGCCGGAAAAGAGCGTCTACACTGGCCCCGATCCTCCGGAAAAAGCGCCCTTTTCCGGAGGATCTTTCCGGAGGATCGGGGCCAGTGTAGACGCTCTTTTCCGGCTTTTCTAAAAGCCGGAAAAAAGCGGCGGACATTTTTATTTAAATGCCGCGGGGGATATTTAAATGCCCCGCGGATTTCCCTATTACGACCTGTGAAATTAACATGCCCCTTTCGGAAAAGGGGCCAGTGTAGACGAGCCCATTGGGTCAGACCAAAGGTCCATCTAGCACAGTATCCTATCTTCCGACAGTGGCCAATGCCAAGTGCCCTAGAGGGACTGTACAAAACAGGTAATCATCAAGTGATCCTACCCCTGTTGCCCACCCTAGCTTCTGACATACAGAAGCTAGAGACACCATTCCTACCCATCCTGGCAAATAGCCATTAATGGACCTATCCTCCATGAATTTTTGAACCCTGCTGAAGTCCTGGCCTTCAAAATATCCTCTGGCAAGGATTTCCACAGGTTGACTGTGTTGCATAAAGTAGGACTTTATTTTGGTTGTTTTAAACCTGCTACCTATTAATTTCATTTGGTGATCCCTAGTCCTTATGGGAAAAAGTAAATATCTTTCTTATTCACCTTCTCCACACTAGTCAAGATTTTGTAGATGTGTCTTGTACTTCCACTTAGTCTCCTCTTTTATAAGCTGAAAAGTCACAGTCTTTTTAATCTTTCTTTGTAAGGCACCTGTTCCAAACCCCTAATCATTTTTGTTGCCCCTTTCTGAACTTTTTCTAATGCTAAGATTTTTTTTGAGATGAGGTGACCACATCTGTATGCAGTAGTAAAGATGTGGGCACACCACGGATTTAGAGAGGCAGTAAGATATCCTCTATCACTTTTTTAATGATACCAAACATTCTCTTTGTTTTTTTGACTGTTGCTACAAATTGAGTGGATGTTTTCAGACAACTATCCACATTGACTCCAAGATCTCTCTCGAGTGGTAGCAGCTAATTTAGCTCCATATAATTTTGTACATATATTTCGGATTATTTTTTCCAATGTGCATTACTTTACATTCATCAACTTTAAATTTCATTTGTCATTTTGTTGTCCAGTCTCTTAGTTTTGTGAGATCCTTCTGAATCTCTTCACAGTCTACTTTGGTCTTAACTAACTTGAGCAGTTTAATGTCATCTGCAAATTTTGCCACCTCACTGTGTACTCCTCTCTCCAGATCATTTATCATTAGGGACAATTTATTATATTTAAATACATCTTACCTCCATTGGTTGGGGTAATATTGCAATAGTCATTGTACTGGTGTGAACACGGCCTTGCTTTTCTGTCTTTGGCACTCGCTGAACACGGTGCACTCCTCCTTCAAACTTCATGAGCTTGTATGCTTCAAGACCTACTATACTGGCAGCTGCATGTCTCAGGCCACCTTAAAGACAAAGACAAAACAGTCTTAATACAACTATCCTGTTCTAAATTAAATGCTTTAAATTGTAGGATACTAAAATGTGTTGTTGGGGAAAATATAGGAATGATTTATCAAGTGATTTATCTATTTGTAGTCTGAATCAGACTTTACTTAATTATAAAGTACCTCCTCATCAGTCAACCTTGCACATGCTAAATAAATAAAACCAGCCAACCTGTGTTCGATTCCTCAACATTCTGCAGCACTCCTGCTTTCTATACATGTTGTCCCATGTAGCTTTCAGTTTTGGGGGGAAAAATCAAGACTGCTGATTATACAGTGAAGAGGCAGACAACGTTCTGTCTTGACTGAGTGTTCCAATAGGAAATTTCCATAGGAGTTATCTTCTAATTATTTTAAAAAAGCAAGCAGTGAACAAGGAAAAATGTTTTAAATAACATCTTCAGTCTTGTTTATACCCAAATATGCAAAAACTCCCAAGAACAAAATTCCCTACAGGCTGCTTGTTAAAGGGAGGTTTGTCAAATTTATTCTGTGGAGGAGGCCAAATGCCATTTTAAATTATGCTTATGGGCCATGATGTATATTTAGAACTATTTATCCTCCTCTCACTGATATCAATGGGAAGTTTAAAAAAAGAACATGAGTGGAATACGGTCTCTGTACAGTAACAAACTTATTATTTGTAAGTAATTTGTCATATACAATATTATTCAAAGGAAAAAGTTGCTCAACTTCAGGATGACTATTTTTGTTCTTTGCGTCTCCTTCCCATCTTCCTTTAGTCTTCTTCCTCTCATCCCTGTTTTTATATTTATTTTCTTTCTTTCTCTGCATTTCCTTTCCTGATGAGAAGGAGGAAACATCCTCAGTTCCAAACCACACCCTTTCAGCAAATGAAACAGTTAAGGCTGACAACTGGAATTTGGAGTTAAACCCAATGAGATTAATAGGAATGGAAAGGTGATATCATAAATGTCATTCCTAAATCAGTATTCATGTTAGATTCTCTCTTCAAGGACTAGGCAGAATCTTTTGTAATGAAAGCCAAAACAGTGCAGAAACTGACAATGACATTTAGGTCACCAAAAACTATTTCACGGGCCAGATCCACCCAGTGGGACTGCTGTTTGACAACTGTAATTAAGGATATTGCAAACACTGCTGTTCTCTGCAGATTCTTAATATTCTATTAACATTTTCCTCACAAAAAAAGTAACAAGTAGTCCTGTGGCACCTTAGAGGCTAACTCTCTCTCTCTCTCTCTCTCTATATATATATATATATATTAGTATCATGAGCTTTCATGGGCAAAACCCATTTCTTCAGATGAGATGATCTTGAGTGGACAAAAAAAGTGGACCCCTCAGAATAAGAGAGAGGGAGAAAAAAAGTACCTGACAATTGTAGCCCTTGCACTAATTAAACTAATTGAGGGGGTTGGAAGTGTCCCATACTTAGTTTTTTGATTGCAATAGGTGTTGAAAGTAAGGAAAGCTGGTATTACAATATGTTAACCAGTTCAAGTCTTTGTTCAGGCCCAGGGAGGCAGTATCAAATTAGCATATGAAGGTCAATTCTGCAGTCTCTGTAGTTGGCTTGTGAAATTCCTTTGTAGAAGAATAGCTACTTTTAAGCTATTAATGAGTGCCCAGGAAGATTTGATTACATTAAGTCAGTCTGGAAGAACCAAAAAAATAAGAAGTCTATGTGCCAACTTTATTATTTTCCTCCCTACGACATTACAATACCATCAGACCTATCTCAGTGATTTTTTTTTAAAATCTTGCCCCTACATGCCAATAAAAGAGGGTTTTATATGAATCTGTCACTTTGTTACCTCAATGCGTAATTAATCCTTATTATAGCTGAAGTGATTTGTCAGGATGTATCAGTTTACTATGTTAATGTTGTATGTTAAATGCACCACTAAATACAGCTATCCAACTTCAGTTTGGATATGTCTGTTACATAAGAAGACTTGCTGAAGCAGCCTGAAACTTTATCATATACTGTCCAAGCTAATAATTCTTGTGAAGTCTTTCACTTGTAAAATATGGCCATCATCAGACTGAGCAAAAGATTTATTGCAGTATATTTAAAGATTTTTGCTCAACTACACAGAATTTAGGCTTACTTTAATACTTTAAGCACATTTATTCTAATTAAGAAGCTAAATATCTCTTCTATATAGCTAGCTTAAGAGGAAGGTAGCTGATGATCACAGTAAAAATATTTTGAAATCACACAGTCCTATATATTAGGAATTAAGGCAATGATTCAAATTCTCCCCTATCTTTCCCATGTCTTGACCCAAATGCTGTTTTTGTTTCCAAAACAGATTTATGTTAACACTATACAAGTCAAACATCTCACTTGTTTACTGTTTGGTGAGCCTATTATTTGTGAAATGTTTAAGAGCAGAAGTTCTCAAACTGTGGTCTGTGCATCAACAGTGATTCACAAGTTCCATTCTGGCGGTCTGCGGATAGTTCCCTCTAAGGTGTATGCTTGGGCAGCCATACACAAGAGAATGAAAGGCCACTCACCTAACTGAGCCACGCACTAATTAGATGTTTGGACATTGGAGAAGATAAACATGTGAGGTGAGGTGGTGACCTTGGAGGGAATAGGGGTTAGGTGGGAGGGATCAGTGGGGTGAGGTGGGAGCCATAAGAGGTAAGCGGAGCATGGGTGGGCAGATTTGGAATGTGCAGGGCTGTGGCAGTCAGAGAAAGAAGTGACTATCTCCAGCTCCAGAGAGAAACAGCCCACCTTCCCAGCCCCTGCTCTGTGGCTGTCACATCAGCTCTGTGGCTGCTGGCACATGGGAGAGAGAACCTCCTCATTGCCAGGACAGCTTGGTGGCTGCCGCTGCAGGAGAAATACCCCTACCACCTTCCCAGCCTAAGCTCAACCCAATTATTCAGGTTATATATAGTGCTTTTATCCAAAGTGCTTTACAACAGTTAGCTAATGGTAAAATAAACATTTAGAAAGATCATTAAGAGGTCCTCCATGACCCTCAACAATTTTCAAGTGAGTATCCAAAAAAAAAAAGTTGTAGAACCACTGTTTTAGAGGTAATCTGCAACGATTGTGTATTTAATCAGAAGCTACCACTGCATGTGGCTCATAAAAAATAGAATGGCTATTAGTTAACTTGACATTCATACCTAAGGTACACCCAAAGGAATGCCTAATACCATCCTGTATTGTGACTTTGCAAGCAAATTTACTGGAAAACAAGATACTCTTGACAACAACAATCAATTTACTTGTGATAGACTAATCCTATCAGATGGATATCACTGAATTATACATTTTAGTATGTTTAAGCACTAGCACACGGGAAACTGATTAATCCAGGTATCAACATCATTTCTAGAAGGAAATTCTGAAATAACCTAACACTTGAGCACAGTCATTAGCAACTAGCAGTCCATCTTGTTCAGATGACAATTAGAAAAGAACTGAAGAAGACTGTAGCTTATTTTACAGATTTGTATTTTTCTGGGTTTTTTAATTCTCTTTACACAATTTAACTTTAGTAGATTGAATACAAGATATAAATGAATAAGTCCTATCTTTATTAAGATGGAGTCACCAGGATCATTTATGTCAGTTAGAAAATGACCTATATAGCTTACCAAAAGGATGGGTTTCACAAAGGAACCAGATCTAAATTTTCAGAAGTATAAATAAATGCAACAACCAATACATGCATACAAGAAAGGTTTGCCCATTAAAATATGGCCCTATAATTCCCAAAGGGTAATATTCATTTCAGTGCCAAGGCAAGACTTTGCACACTATTTAAGCATTTATCATAAGAGTTACATGATGAAATGGAGATCACCAGGTTTATGTCATGACTCAACCTTAAAACTTACTTTCCAAGTGAATTTAAAACTAATCATGTTCTATTGAGTCCAGATTGGACCTCCCTGGTCCAGTACCCTGGGGACCTGAGTGGTCCTGAACCAGAGAGTTTGCTGGATAAGGGGAAGTGAATGCTCCCCTGATGGCTCCCACCTTATGACCTTGCTTACAGCTGCCAGAGTTCCCCTGCTGGAGCCATTTGGCTGCTGCCAGCCCCACTGGTGCGGGGAGTCCCCTGAGATTCCCCAGCAAACACTCCCTTCCTGCCACTTGGCCCCACAGCTGCCAAAGATTCCCTGGCTCTGTATGGCCCTGCTAACATGGAACAGGGGTGTTCCCCAGCTGGGACGCTCAGCTACCCCGTCCCGCTAACACAGCGGGTTTCGCAAGGTTCCCTGGCCGGGGCCGCCTGACCACCACCGGCCCCCAATGCCGGGGCCACTCCTGCTCCTGCCATGGGTTCCACCAGGATTCCTTGGCCTGAGTATCCTGGTCTGCCATCTAAGGTGGCTAACACTGTGGGGTTCCCTGGCTGGGGTGGGGGGTTCCCGTTCCCCAATTCCCCTAATGCCAAAAGTTCCCTCGCCGGGGCAGGGGGCTCCCTGTTACTTGCCTTTCCGAGTCAGGGCTTCCCAGCTCTGCACTATTCCAGCTGGCCTTTAGGGCTCCTTGGCCTGTTCCTGGCCTCTAGGGCTCTTCGGCCCTGCGAGACCACGGATGTTGCCAAACCAGAGAGTCATGGATTTGGGATGTTCAATCTGAACATGCCTATCTAGTGAAAATTAGTAAGGTTTTAATGTACAATTATACTGAAACGAAACTTGAAATGGATGAGAAAATATATGGCAAAAGACTACACTTCAGATAAATTCAAGATATTTCAGCTTAGTTACTGCACATGATTTTTAATTAAGTAGTGCCCCTCCCTGTCTGTGCCAAATCACCCAGAGCAATGAACAAATATTCAGAATACAAACAGAATGCAGGTATTATAAAAACAAGATTAAATAGCTAAATAGATCTGTGTCCAAATCAATAAAATATGATTGAGAATGTATAAGTGTGCCATTATGCAGATATCTTCACCCCTAACATTTAACTTCAATTCATCTTGATTTTTCTCAAGTAACACCTATTACATTGTATAAAACTATGGATTTTCTTCCTTTCCTTTACAAAACATTAGACATGCTATTTCATTCTCATAGTAATATTAGTAAAATCTTGTTTATGTATTAAAACTGTTCCACTGATTCTGCTTACTTATAAATTTATGTGAAGTGCTTGAGGGAGGCAAAAAAATCCTCATGTAAACAAACTGCTTTTAACTATACAACTTTTCAGTTCATGTTATTAGAGTATTAATTACTAACCTATTTCACTTGGAAAATATTCCAGTATTTCAAATCTCCAGTTTTTGTATGCAGCATATTGTTGATACATATCAAATATCTCTGCAGTGAACAGCATGGCTTCCTGTCCACCAACTCCAGCAGTTACTTCCATGACCAAATCACTGTTGTCTGTTTGTTCTGAAGGAACCAAATGAAATAGTATCTGTAAATACAAAAATTACAAACCTTTTTACCTGAGATTGTCTTCTCCTACATCTGAAAGCATACTCAAAGTATTTCATATGTTCAGATATTATGGAAAGATCACAGATGCTAGCAATCATTTTATTTTGCAGTCTATTACAGTATCTCCTTAACATTCTCCAAGTAGGTAGTTTTCTTAATGCTCTTTCTCTGCACTCAATGTTTAAGCTCAACTTACTTTTTTTTGGATACTATAATTTTCCCCAGGCAATTCCCATTAATACATGAATGTATATTACTTACTAAAATTTATCTGCAGACTTTAAGAGACAAGTATCATTATCCTTTTTATAGGTAAGAAACTGAGGCATAGGTGAAATAACCTGCCCAAAATAATAGAGTAGATCAACTGGAAGTCCTAGGAATATAACCCAAATCTCCTGACTTCCAGTATAATGTCTTTTCTGCTAAAACACTACCTTCCTGAAGGTTAACTGGAGTCAAATATATTTTTGCAAAGAGAAGGCTATAGCTCTTTGTGTTTGTGTGTAATGGTGGAAGGCTCCTTTTAAAAAGACCAACAAAGCTTATACTGATTTCCATAAGAAGCCTCTACCTTTGCAGATGAAAGAAACACTGACCAATATCTTGAGATGGAAAGTCTTTTTTAAACAGAGATCTTCTTTTATCAACTAAGTAGCTCCCTGACTGATAAAGTGCAGAAATGGATTGAGTAACTGTTGGATTTCTGCTTTTTTTTAAATCAGAGATGTGAATTTGTAATAAGTCACAGAAATTAAAGATACACTGGTACTAAAACCTGAACATAAATAATTAATAGCCCTTATAAAACCATTTTAGGTGTTGGACAAAACCCAAGATTTACACCCTTGCCTGTAATGTTTTCCACCCACTACTGCTTGCTTGTACAGAGTACAATTTTCTATACTTCTTTGTTCTATCTGTTCTTCCTGTAAATCTATATATATTTGTATGCTTACAAAAAATAAATGTAGGAACCAACTGTCATTTCGGTGATGGATCAGCATGTGGCAAAATGAATCAGTTTTCTTTTGGCGACAAAACTCTGATAGCATTCACACTGCAATGATACAACAGTCGCGAAAAACACCCAGTTTTGGTGACAAAAAAATTCCACCTCCACCAAGGGCTTTTTTCTTTCCTCCTCCCTTTACTGTCATCAATCATGCAGTGTATATCATGGGAGGCTTTTTTTCACCTTTATTGAACTCCACGATGTTCCCACAATACCCAGCTAGTCACTCTGGGCAGTGTTCCTGGCTGCCCTGCAAAAATAATGGAGCTGACACAGTCATACCATAAGGTAAGGGACGCAATCTGTCAATCTGGTACTGCACCCAAGATATGCTGTTTTTAAAAGGTGCTGGACACACTCCACCTCCACCAAGACAGAGGACTTAACCTGAACACCTGGGGGGGACAACCCCACCTCCACCAAGAATCCTGAGGATACTTCTGAAGGCTCTGAGTCAGCAGAAAGAGGACTTAACCTGAAGGATGAAATCATAGATCAAGAAGTAGAGCTGATCCTCCGGGCGTTGTCGCCTGGTATGCCAGGAAGCCAGGAACAGTTCTCAACTCCAGAGGAAACGGTCAGTCTCCTACTTTCAGGTAGGAATAAGAGATCCTCCGGAAAAGGGCTTTAGTCCGGAGGATCGCGCCAGTCTAGACGCTTTTTTCCGGCTTTTCCCCAAGCCGGAAAAAAAGCGGCGGACATGTTTATTTAAATCCCACGGGAGATATTTAAATCCCCCGCGGATTTCCCTATCCTGACTTACCTGCTTTGCATGACTTTTCCGGAGAAGGGGCCAGTCTAGACGTAGCCCACGTCTCTGGCTTAGGAGTGCAGTGGTGCGGGTAGAGCACAGATATGTAGGAGGCTGACTGTGTCTGTGAGCTGGCATAACCCTGTATGGCTACAAGTTATGTCCAAGCAGGATGTTGATGCACACTGAGATGTCAACTGAATCCTGTTGTGAGATAGATGCTCTGAAAACTTTGCCTGATATATTTATTGACTTTTCTCTCTCAAGTGCCAAGGCAGTGCAGCAGTGTTTCTCCCTCAACCCATCCCATGGTATAATACCATTCTTCAGTGCTGCAGGAACTAAAGCAGCACAAAGTTGTGGGGTGATAGAATTAGAGCACAAGTTCCCCTGCTTACCCTCATGAGTGAGATATCAGCAAAACTGATATCTGCATGTGGGGCATCATTAGAATTATTTCCATGCAAATCTTCTGCATACGTCAGGCCTATGCTTTCTTAAGCCCCTATGCATCCCCCACATCCCCCTCTTCTCCTTCCCCCAAAACTCACCATATTCACAGTGCCTGCAGAGATGTATGAGTCTTCAAGGGCCAGTGAGAAAGTGGCTGCATATGTTGAAAAAGGTGCTTGTAACTGTAATGTTTCAACTTTGAGTCGGAATTTAACAATCCCAATTTTGTTACATCCTATGTTGCAGATGAGAGCTTGAGAACTCAGAAAACGTCCCCAGCTGACAGACTGTCAACTAAGAAAAGAGTGGTGACTCTTGGGGGATTATCTTGGGAGGAAGGTTCTAAATCATTCCTCAATTGAGGCACAAAAAAGGGAGGAGCGATGGCCAAGTGAAAGGCAAGATCGGAAAGATGCCACTAAATACATGATCAAGGTTGTGGAGGAACAGAGATGCTCACGTGTTTAATTAAGCTGCACAGTGAGCAGAGCCAGCCTTGACCTCCTCTGCAAGGCATACAGAATTCTTTGTCTATCAACTCATCCTCGGCACCCATACATTCTTTTTCACTGTCCGGGAATGCTCAGTTTCCTCCCTACTCCACTCCCCATCACAACTATGATTATAACAGCTAGATTTACACATGGTTGTGAGGCTTTACCCTAACCCAACTCTACCATTACCAGCAACACTGAGTCTTAGGTGAGTGGCCATGATTTTCAGTGATCAATAAAGACAAACATTTTTAAAGTACAATGACTTTATTTTCTGTTCCATAACCTAGAGCAAATTGCACAGGCCCTTGGTACAGGCTGTTAAATCACTTTCATGGAAATTACTTGGGATGAAGAATGGAGTGCACCAGGGAAGCAACCGCAAAAGAGAGACATTTCAGTGCCGCTCATTGTCAAAGTGGTTCCTCAAAACCTCCCTGATGTTAATGGCAGCTCTATGGGATCATCTCACAGGCCTAGTGTCTAGCTGCTCAGACTGTACGCCCAAGCACTGTGCCTCAGTGCTCCACCTATGAGCACATATTTCACTCTTAGTTTCACACAAATCATGCAAACAACAGCATGCAGCTATAACCATGGGGATATGATCCTCCGTAAGGTCAAACTTGCCAGAGAGACATCCTTTTCAATCTGCCAAAAGCACATTCCATTACCATGTGGCATCAGCTCAGCCTATTGTTGAACTGCTCCTTATTGCTATCTAGGTGCCTCATGTAACGTTTCATGAGCCAGGAATGTAAGGGGTAAGCCAGGTCTCCTAGGATCACTATGGGCATTTCCACATCCCCCACTATAATCATGTGGTCTTGAAAGAAAGTCCTCTCTTGCAGGTTTCTGTACAGGCCAATGTTCCTGGATATGTGTGCATCATGTACCTTTCCAGATCACCCCATGTTTATGTCTGTGAAACACCCACCATTTCACAAGTGCCTGAAGCAATATTGAGAAGTACCCCTTCTGGCTGATGTACTATGTGGCAAGGTGGGCTGGTGCTAAAATTGGAATATTTGCACCATTGATTGCCTCACCTCAGTTAGGAATAGGGATGTAAAAATTAACTGGCTAATTGTTATGTGTAACCAGTTAACTGCTTAAACAAGGGTGGGTGGGAGCCGCTTCAGCTGGGTGGGGGCCTGCTACAAGCGATGGCTGGGCTGAGGAGGGATGCTTACTGGTTAGCTGGTTAACCATTGACATCCTTAGTTAGGAAAGCCCATCTGTGCAAAGCCGGACACTACATCATCCATATTTCCCAGAGTCACAGTCCTCCACAGCAGAATATGATTTATTTCCCTGCACACTTGGGAAAATGCAGCCCCAATGGTGGACTTCTTCACTCCAAACTGATTTTCAACAGATCAGTAGCAATTGGGAGTCATCAGCTTCCATACAGAAATTGCCACATGCTTCTCTACTGAGAGGGCAGTTCTCATTCAGGTGTCCTTACGTTGCAGTTTGGGGGCCAGCTTAGCACACAGCTCCAGGAAGGTTGTTTCATGTACCCTAAAGTTCTGTAGCCACAGGTCTTCATTCCATACCTACATGACAATGCAATCCCACCACTCAGTGCTGGTTTCCCTAGCCCCAAAGCAATGGTCTACCCTGTACAGGTGCTCTGTGACAGATAAATACAACGCCAGGCTGCTGTTGTCCATGTCATTCACAGCGTCATCCACCTACGACTCATCTTCCTCTGTAAGAACCTTCAACAGTAACTCTGGTGCAATGAGCGATGCCCTCCCGACACTGAACACAGCATAAGAGACCAGTAGAGAAGTGTGGGATCCATATTCTCACTGCAGATGCTGGAGTGCACAGCAAAGATTGGCAGTTTTACAAATGGCACAAAAGGGAAGCCCCGGGAGGGCTGGGAAACAAAGCAGTGCCTGATGGGTTATTTTTCACGGTCCCAAGATGCACTACACTCCATTCTGTTTTTCCACAGTGCTTAGCGAAGAAGGTGTTCTCAGGTACTATGGAATGCATACCCACAGAGCATTGCTCAGTTTGTCAACAAGGGAGCTAAAAATGTGGCCATAGTCTATTAAAAGAGAAAGCCAGCGTAAATACACTTTGGTGACTTTTTTTGGCCACTTCTGCATGTTGACATTATTTTCATCACCAAAACTTTGCAGTGTAGACATACTTTTAGAAAAATGCAATAACTTTTTAACTTGTGATTGTATACTTTCCAGAGGGAATGATTTTGATTAAAATTACTACGCAGATATCTATACAAACTAACAAGTGGGAATTAGTTGCACAGTTTAAAAACGTCTTTTGTAAAAGCAATAGCCTACTCTCACAGTGATCCTATGAATATTTGCCTTTATCAACTGATATAGGCCCTGTGTACATATGCAGTCAATCTAATTAACAAATTCTTCTGCAGTCAGAGAAAGGAGGAGCCTTATTAGAGTTTACAGTTTGAAATTCTCAGCAAGTGATCACAGGGCTCTATAAATAAAAATAAATGACTTTCAGGGATGGTCTAAGGATATTTGGTCCATGGGAAGAATGGGTTATATTACTTAAAGCCCCTTCCAGCCCTATATTTCTATAATTCTGTGTGTCAACTGTACAGTTCTTCACTTTGTTTAAACATGGGATGATGTTTCATTTTATCAACTATAAAAATGAAAAACTAATTTGAATGAAGTTGTAAAATTATAAATGAGGACAGAATTTGACTCTCGCTCATTTAACATTGGCTAGTAAATTGATATATGATGTTACTTTACAAAGGACTATACCTGGCGCTTCAATTCAGTTATCTCTTCCTGACAGGAAACTATTTCCTCTTCTGCAAGCTTCTGCAAATCTTCATTCTCATCTGCAACATTGGAATGTGTTAATCCTCAACAGTTATGATTTACAATGTCATTAATCCTCCTCCCACCACAGCTGTATGATCAATCATATTTCTTACTGAATAAAGACTTATTTTGCTTGTCATTAAAGGTTGAAGAATGATATGTGGTAGAGATGAATAATTATTTTTAATACTGTTTTTTGGCATTGTTTGGATTAGATATGGGGAGACCCACCCTATTCAATATCTATTCCTGCTAGAAAGAAATGTCAACACTTACAAGGAGTTTATCTTAAAATTCTGTATTTACTTTAGGGATGTGAATGGTTAACCGGCACCACACTTATTGGTGATGATTGATGCTTACCGGTTACAGTTAACTGTTGGGATGGGAACAGGCCCTCTGCATACCATGGGTAGGGAGCTGCTCCAGCCTGGCAGGGCCTGCTGCAGGCAGGGAACACTCCAGCCCAGCCAGAGCACTCCCCTCCATGGCGAGCATGGTCTGGACGAAGCAGTCCCCACTAGAGATGTTATGTAAATTAATAGTCATGTAACCACATGAATTCTTATCAGTTACACAAATATTTGATAGCTCCTGGGGGCAAGGGGCGGCAGCCAGTGCGCTCCTGGCCCTACTCCTAGGGAGTCCCCTGCCACCGAGCACTATCAGAGGCAACAGTGTGGGGTGGCAGGTGGAAGTTGGTCCATGAGGAAAGCCAAAAAACAGCTCACTATGCAGACTGGCTGCATGCTGCCCCGATCCACTGGGGGTCTGAGCTCCCCAGGGATAGAAGCTGCTGGGAGGGGGAGAGGGCGGACAGGAGGAGGCAGGGGAGGCTCTCGCAAAGCAACATCTGTCCCTGGTGGCCGGGGCTGTAATTGTTCAATGAATAGCATATGCAAGCACATTTCAGCCCATCCTCTATTTGCAAATGACAGTTATGATCTTTTATAGTCTGGGAAAATATATAATGATAAATTAATTTTAGGGCTGCCCACACAATAAGAGAAATGCTTTTAGTATGAATTTGCTAGCACATTTTAATTTCAATAGTGCAAACCTTAAAAAAAAAATCAGTCTCCTTAAAAACATGAGTTTTTCCAAAAGTAATTTTAATATTTGCTTTCTGGTTATGGCACCTTTAAGGGTTCTCATGTGCAATGTTTTCCCTCTACATCCCTGAAAACTGGAAATTGTATCCAAAAAGTAAAGGTGTGAATCTCACGCTAATAAACACAACTGCAAGAACTAGGGCCCAGAGGGCTGGAAATCCTAGCCGAGACAGGACAGTCACAAGCCCATTTAACACTCACTGATATTGGAGAAATCATTTCCCACTGGGGACAAGTCTGAGTGTAAAGCACGCCGGCTATGACTGCTTAACTCCCTGCCTGCTCGCTCTTACTCTGCACCACAAGTGCCTTCACCTGAGCCACGCTCTGAAATCCGGAATTAACTCCCCACGGATCGGCCTGAGCAGCCAGAAGGCGCGTGCACGCGCCCACGCGCACGGCTCTGTCCCAGCGCCTGGACCGGTGGGCGGAGCCAGAGCCAGGGGGCGGAGCCAGGCGCGCTCTGC